GACTGGGGGAGAGAGGAACAGGACTGGGGGAGAGAGGAACGGGACTGGGGGAGAGAGAAACGGGACTGGGGGAGAGGAGAAGGACTTGGAGAAAGGAGCAGGCCCAGCTCCTCCTGCAGCAGCAGCTGTCAGCCTCAAGGTGTAGACATCCCTTTTGAGGACAGTACAGAGTCCTTGAAACTGGTTTGTGAATTGTTTCACCTTCCCCTCTTGGCCACTCACTTCAACTCTTCAACCTGTGGAGCTGATCCAGAATCTTGTGCAGGTGAACTTCTCCAAGACCAGCAAAACGAGTTGTTGAGGGAGCAAACAGACCAGGAAAACCTCCATCTGCCAGTCCATTCTCCAGCCAGACAAACACTTCCACACCCAAGAACTTCCTCATTCCCTTCAGTGCTCCTCTTGTCCCTCCATTCCCAGCAAGCCTAAGCACCAAGAGAAACTGCAGCACAGCCAAAGAGCAGCTACACGAACCAGGCAGAGAGATTGTGCACCACGTGGTACGTGGCCTCGGTCGTCTGCAAGAAGCGACAAGCTCTGCAGAACCGTGGGGCCCAATCAGTCACCTCCACTGGTTTCATCCACCTGCGCCACTGGAAGTGGCTTTGGTACCTCTTGGGGTCCTTACTCAGCTCCTGCAGGTACTGGGCCAGGTCTGCGGCGCTGGCGAAGTCATCGACGTGGATGAAGGACTCGGAGGGCAAGAAACGCTCGTAGCTCTTTCTTGGAGGCCCCATCACAACGGGGATGGTCCCAGAGGACAATGCATTCCTCCAGACCTTCTCAGTGATGTAGTCCTCATGCTGGGAGTTCTCAAAGGCCAGGTAGAAGCTGTACTGGGAGACGGTGGGAAGGAGCTTGTCCCGGGGTAGTGGCATGTGGTACCTCCCGTAGATATCCACAGGGATGTGTTTCCTCAGCTCCTGGTAGTACTTGACCCTTGGGGATTTTTCCTTCCAGTTGCTGATCACCCAAGCCACCAACTTGGTCTTGGGTGGGATGTTGACGGGTTGGGGCTGCCTGAGGAGCTGCAGTTCCCCATATGGTGTGAAGATGTCTGAGTCTCTCCGGTAAGACATGGTCAGGTTGAAAAGGTTGTCCATGGCTCTTAAGTTTGGAGAATGACTCGGAGACTCCAAGTTGAGCCAGATCCAGCGCTGGGTTGGGGGCCTGGGGAGCTGGGCCAGGTGCTCCATGTCTCCAAACACATCCCTGTGGTGCATGATCACAGCGTTTGCCCTCTGGGACCAGCTGCGGTTGGTGGTGAAGTGACAGTCCTGGATGTCCAGGAGCTCTGAGCAGCTTGTGAAGTTGAAGCGGAACCCAAAGGGCCATGACCAGAGCAGGATGGTCAGTCTATCCCCACCCCTCCGTGGGACACCAGCTCCTTGGAGTGTCAGTGCTGAGGGATTGGACTCTGGGTCCAAGTTCCTGTACCAGCGAAGGGAAACGAAGAAGTAGGAGCTGAAGATGATGTTGAAGAGCAGGAGGATGAGGACTTTCTTGCAGATCTTCCTCCTTTCCACTGGCTCCATGGCTGGATCTGCAAAGAGCACAGAGAGGAGGAGGAGAAGGATGAGCACCCAGAGACCTTGTGGGAGGGAGACAGCTTTGAGGTCACAGGAACCCTGTGGGGAGAGAGTTCTGGGGTCACTGTGACCTCACAGGGAGAGGGTTCTGGGGTCACTGGGACCTCACGGGGAGACAGCTCTGAGGTCACAGGGACCCTGTGGGGAGAGGGTTCTGGGGTCACTGAGACCTCACGGGGAGAGGGTTCTGGGGTCACTGGGATCCTGTGGGGATGTCTTTTAGCCATCATGCTGCTCTGTGATTGGCTGCAGCCATTGCTTGTTTGACGACTTCATAGCCACATGGCCTCAGGCAGCCTGTGATTGGCTACTGCCTGCTTCC